CAAGTGGTTTGAATGATTGGTAATTGAATAGTGTTTCTCGAATGATGTCAAAAAGACATTATGTTGAGTGATTAATTCATAAATATTGAAGAACATATTATATTAATAACAGTTACGGTACATCAAGATACTGTAATTTCTCAAGGATTTTTTGCAGGCAATAAACTTCTTTGGGATTTACAACAATACACAGCAAAGTAACGCAGTTTGGGTAGAATGTGTCTTCATCATCTTCATCAAGTTGAGTTGAGAGAATATTTTTTCATGTGTTGCACTGTGTTCTATGATTACATAATTGTGACAAACACTACCCTGACAATAACAATGTTTCACTCTATATCTAATGAGACAATGACATACCTGTATGCGGCATTGTGACAGTCACTCGTATCATATTGGGATGGTCAGGGTCATCGGGACCAGTATATCTCAGCTTAGCAGTAAACGGTTCAGCTCCTACTGCACCAACTACTCTTGGCGGACATATACCGTCGTCCATGGCCACGGTAATTGTATCACTCTTGGATTCTAATCCTTTCTCGTCATCGTTTCCAACAGCTCTGGCATAACACTGAACACGAGAACCAGGTCCAAAGTAAACACTGTCCAGAGTGATCTGAAGAAAAATATACAAATGACCTAAGTTTTTCCCGACAAGTACGAGAAGGGGGGGGGGGATGAGGGGTATAAGACAAGATTGTAGTAATTCAATATGAACTTTTTAATATCAGGCAAAAAGTTCATAAAGCTGGGTATTCAACCTTATCAATTTTTTTTTTTTTGTGTTTCTTCAGATTTTTGCCTTTTGGTCAAATTATTAAAAGTTTTTGTACAACTTAACGTTTTATGGTTTAATTCTAAAGTAATTTCATTATTAAATAGTTCCCCTGAGTTATCATGTTTATGAACATGTTAGAGTCTTAGTCTTAGGTAGCATTCTTTAAAACAAAATAGCTGCCAGTGGGAAATTTTGAACTTGATCTGAAAAACAAAATAATGTGCACCAATGTCTCACAATGGCAGAAATCTGCTTTTGATGAGTTTTAAGTACAAAAATGGCCGCTATTCGGTCATTTTGGATCAAATTGTGAAACAATAAACACTTTTCACCATGGTCAGAGTAACCATATTATACCGTACTTCCTGGAGTATAAGCCCCTCCCCAAGTATAAGCCCACCCCTCTGTTTTTGGAAATTTAATGAGTTGAGGACATCCCCGAGTATAGGCCCAGGGTGTTTTTACCGGGCATCGAAGACATTTATTACAAATATGCATGTAAAAAGTGTATTTCATTGCATAAAAATCATAATTGGTATGGCAGTTTGGTTCCACGAGAAAACTCGCATTAATTTTAGAGTGCATGGAGGGCAAACGTATGTGACGGAACATAGTTCACACGTTTTCTATTCTGTTATTCACTCTGGATGAACCCTGATGTTGCAACATTGAAATAATCCATATTTCTTTTGAGTAATAGTTTTACAAACAGCAAAAATGTGATCGTCAAGTCGTGAAACCTGGTCACTGATCATTGTTTTACTTTTCCAAATCTTGTCCATTGAGTCTATCATGAATGGGGTGTGAACAAGCAAACTATTTTTCGACATGACTTGTTGGCGGCTGTGAAAGGTTTAAATACTTCCCTCACCCTCATTTTACCTTTTCAACAGCTTTTGGTCGAAAAAATCACCGTTTTTTTGTCGAAATCAGTGTTGACAGATCGCATTTTAACATCGCGGTAATTCACTTCAGCATTGCGTTGAAAAAATACTTCGTCAATAATCGGAAAACTTCGACTGTATGACACAGCATTTTCATCGGTTAACGGAAGACGTGACCTGTTAGGTCAAAGTTGTTCAGGTCAAATTATAATGAAACAAGACATGACATGTCATAGCCCCCCTCAGAAAAAAATTTAAAAACTTATATTGAACTGGGTTTGTGTCACAGTGAATTAATTCATTATGAGCTGTATTAAAATTCCGTTATTAA